ATAAGACATCAGGGCTGTAAGCCTGGGAGGTGTCGTTTCCCTTCGTGCTGGCAGTCAGAGGCCTCTCAACATCTCCCAGGCACTGCTGAGAGCAGGAGCATTCCTGACCAGATAGACTCACACGCAGAGGCCAGAGCCTGCTCCTCTCCTTCTGGGTAGGTGCAAAGATTGTTCTGGTCCTTCTCCTGCTGGCCAGACTCCCCGTGGCTTGGCCAGACCCCACACTCCGTGTGCAGGGGAACTAGAATGACAAAGCTGAGGCGCAGAGATGTTCGTATTCAAAGTCTTGGTTCGACCTGCAGCAGATGGGGGCTAGTTCAGAGGTCTAATTCTCTTGCCTCCATTCCATCCCTGCATTCAGACTTTGATGTGGGCCCACACTACACAAAAAGGAGGACACAAATTCTGTGCTCAAGGAGAGAAGTGAGCAGAGATGGCAACCCCAACAGCTGATACACCACACGTATCACGTTGAACTCCCCCAAACAGCCTTGCCCAAGTTGATATTCAGTATAATTTACATGAAGATGGCACTGTATCAGCTGCTGCAAAAGAGGGGAATAAAAGTAACAGAGTGCTGAGCCTTGCCCTGTGGACCTCAGGACAGAAGAGCAGCAACTGTCAGCACCAACTCATGCCTCAAGTCTCTTGCTGCCTGGTGGCATCCCTAACCCAGAGTCAGACTCCTGAGGGATGTGTGTACCCAGGAGAGGTGCTGATGAAAGCTGAACACTGCATGGGGAAACACCCCACCAACCTGTAGGGCTGTAACATAAACCTCTGCATCCCCAGGGCACTTGCAAGTACAAGTGTCCCAGGGAGCTGAATGGTGCCACTAGGACCTGGGAGCTGGTTTCTGTCCGGGTAGGGTATGTGGGGAACATTCCTGGGACCCAGCCCTCACCTCTAAGGAACATCTAATTATTTTATGCCACGCACAGCAGTTTGGGCGGGGGGGGAGGAACACAAAAATGTTAGTCCCCTTGCTGAACTGCCAGGTCTTTAAAATATTCTGCTTCTGAAGACATGCAAATCCTTTCTCACCAAGAACAAATGCAAAGTTGCATCTTCCACAGTGCAACCCAATTCCCATGTTCCCTGGGGTAAAGATGGCGGCCCTCGCACGCCTCTGCAGCCTCACTTTGCTGCCAGGGAGGCTCAGCTGCTATCTTAGCTAGTTTGAATGCCCCTTGAGTTCAGGCACTGCTGCAGAGCAGGGGGTATCCCACCACAGTATCTCCATAATACTGAGGGGAAAGGGAACCCCCACATCCTGCCCTCTGTCAGTTTGCATCTAGCACTTCCTCTCCTTGAAAACCAACCCAGAATCCCTGGACAGCTCAAAAAGTCTTGGCCAAGTACATCACAAATTCAAGTCAGAGATAATGCAATGGGGGACAAAACCCAAAATAAAACAACAAACAAGAGATTGCCCCTCCACAAGATTCTGCCTCTGGTTTCTATCTCAGATGCTCCATCGCAGTGACTAAGCCCACCAAAGCTGCACTGCAGAAGCCCTTGAGCACAGGGATTAAGGCAGACCCCCCTCTCCACCACCACTGCCATCTGTGCCCAGGGCATCCTGAGAGCAGCACTCCAGGGCTGTCCATGCTGCACAGAGAGTATTGCAGAGAAGCTGGAGGAGAAGGAGGCTTTTCCTGTGGCTGCCTTGTGGCCCCCAAGGTTGTTGGTTAGGTGGAGAGCTCTGGAAGGTGCAGAGGGAATTAAACTCCCCAGTGTACATAATGAAGCTCCTGAAAAGCTGTCCCTATAATTAGCTGTGTACACAGCAAACACAGTCACCAGGGGCGTTGCTTTTGCTCCCAGCCTTGTTTGCAAAACCAGAGCTTCATTCATGTCCTGTTTTGTTTCCCTCCAGCACTGAGGAAGAGTCACGTCGCTGTACCCAATTCGTGCAGCTGTTGTGTCTGCACAGGGCCAAGACACAAACCTCAGACACCCATGCAGCAGGCCAGTTCCCCTCACACTGTTTGGTCTGGACCACAGAGGTGCGTGACACTGGAAACATCTACAATGCCAAGGCTCCTCACAGATGTCTCTGCAGAAGACCTTCCCACTTTACCTTACTGCAGAGGAGTAAGGGTAAACCTTAAAAAAGGTAAGGGTTTTTTTTTTTTAAGGTAAACCTTAAAACCCTTCCTAGGGAGAAACAAGCTATAGCCATAAAAAGGAACAATTTTCCCATCGAGGGAAAGCAAGCAGGGCTCTTGCTAGGACATACAGCCTTGCATGTTCTAGAACTGGTATAAAACCAGGAGTTCAAAACCATCACACACCACTGACATGGGGATGTTGGAACGCAAGTGTAAGTTTGGTCTGCCTGGGCTCTGGGCCACCGTGAGGTGAGCCATCTCTGATCCTCAAAGCTGTAGTGTGTGACAGAGTCTGGGATCAGACTCTGTGGCTCCCCAGTGCTTCAGAGGGGCTGAGCCCTGTGCTCACACCTTCACACAGCCCTAGGGTCAGAGACAACTGGTCCTCCCTCCACCACGCCCTTCGCACAGGGCTCACAGAAGCCTGGCAAGCCTCATGCATTGCACAGGGAACTCCAACACCAAAGTCAAGGCTTCATTCACGTTCTTCCAGTCCAGCACTGCAACACCTGCCCACACTCAGGGGCTGAGCCACCAGCCAAATGCAGCAAGACATTCTGACACCTTAGACCCTTCCCCTCTCTTTGGGGCTCAGCCTCGTGCTCTCAGTACCTACCAATGATGAGGGCATGCTTTGCCCTGCTCACCAACAGCATCTCCTGGGTAAGCTGCACTGGAGCCACGTGATGCTACCAGGCAAGGCCCCCACACACACCAAGGAGTCTTCACTTGCATCTCCAGGACTGGTGTATAAATCCAATGCACCAAACACAGTGGCAGGTATGTGACCCACACTGAACAGTCTCATGCTTCAGAGAAAAAGACACTTAAGAAGTCTGCAGAGATGGCTCACTCCAGCTGTTACATGAAAACTACACCCATGGGCCAAACCTTATGGCCTTGTAGGCTCCAGCTGATGACGGTGACATCTCCGCTTCATGGGCTGAGGGCAGGTGCCTCCAGTTTTACCAGCCTAATGAAAGAAATATTCAGCATGTAATGCCCCAAACTCACCTCTCCCTTGACATCTTCTGTGTTATTATCTTACTATGTCCAGAAGCAATACCATAGGTTCTCATAGGCCACATGAAAACCAGAGGTTAGGGAGCACTCAGCTATGGCAAGTGGAGAACAGAACAGACAGAAGTGGTTTGCCTCTCTCTCATCTCCTCCCTCTGTTCCTGCTCTTTTCTGAACTGCCTCATTTAGGAAACAGTTCTTGGCTATTGTGTTGACCATGGAGCTTCTGAGACCCCATATTGCCCACTGCCCTGCCTCTTAGGGGAGAGCTCCCTGTGCAGGGAGACAGTTTCCCGGCTTTGCCAACACAAGGCACAATCCTGAATACTGTTTTGGTTATATCACTCTTCCTTGGAAATGTGCAGCGATTTTGATTCCCCATACCAACGGTTACAGCATTTGGCTTGCTTTAGGTAGGCAGAGGAGAAGGGAGCGTAGAGCACTAAAGGAGATAAGTCCAGATGCATGGGAGACAGAGCTTTAGGGAGATGAAAGACATCAGTTTGATCCACATGAAAGAGGCAAGAGCTAATGCAGGGCTGGCACCTGCCTCTCTATTACGCCGCGAGCCACCTTGCTGTGGCCCTCATCGTGGTGGCTGGCAGTTACTTTGCATCCCTTCCAGTTCCTGGCTTCTCCCTCTGTGGTGGGGAGCTGTGTTTGCCTCATCTGCAAGAACAACTTCTTTCTATTCCCAGTTCTTCGCCTTAGGCTAATCTCTGAGAAAGGGCTGAGGTTTCTCAGTTCTATGCCTCTTAGGCTCCCTGTCCCAAGCCAAGTATCTCAAGCCCTGAGAGACAATGCAGTCACTGTTTGACAGGAGCATCCATACTTCATGCCAAAGGATGCTGAGCCAAGTATGAGGCAAGCCTACTGCAAGCATCTAGTACAGCAGAACAGGGATGGCTCATATGCCTCGCCTGCAAAGTCCCCATCCCCTGTACGCCAGCACTGGGATCTCTGAGGGATGTCTGAGGTCAATATACAGACATCAGCCTTTCTATCTATTGCAGTGTGGAGATATCCCCTATCTTGCAATGCAACTTTCTACTGCCCTTCTGCCATGGCTCCCATTCCTCTTAGCCTCGATCTGCATCTTAGGCTCATTCATTTTTGCTGCACCAGCTCAGAGCTGCTGTACCCAGTGCTGTTCTGATCCCAAACCTTCACAGAAATCTCTCACCCTGGTGGAAGTATCTGTTGATGAAGGGTCCAGTGCCATGGGGGATGATTCTTAGCCACCAATCTGACTGGTTAGGCATTGCAAGTCTGGTTAAATTCAGAGAAAGGAGATTTTTGAGCTTACTTACTCAGAAATACACAGGCTTTGTCCTTAAGTGAAAGACATGGGGAGTGGGAAATCACATATTTGCATAAAAATTCAGGCTATTCATTTTCTGCTTTATTTAGTAAAATAAATGGAAAAGTTCATTCAAACAACCTCAAGCAATCAATCTGTTCCTAGTGTCAGAACAGGCTGACAGTGGATCCCAGCATGGCACCAAAAGCAAGGAGAATGAGGGGAAAAGATCTTTGGGAACTACAAGCTTTATTTCTGATATTGCCATTTTGCTGTATCACCCTTTGCTCCAACAGAGGTGGCATGGAAGGACACAGTGTAGGGCAATACCAGAGCTCCTGGAATACTGAGAAAAGAGAGCTGGAGCAAACAAATGAGACGGGAGAAGAGATTCCTAGAGAGGACAGACAGCATATATGTACATAGTATGGAGATGGGAATCCATGACTGACTTGGCCCTTTAATCCTACTATCTGAGGAATTCCTGAGCTGTGGAGCTCAGTGAGCAATTCATACACCAGAAACAGATGACTCTGGGCACAGTCATCCTGCTGGCTGAGAAAGAATCAGAGTTCCTCATTGAAGGCCTTCTCCTCAGGTTCGTCTTCTTTCTAAAACACATTAGAGGCATGAAATCAGTTTTGATGTTGCTCAGTTTCTCAGCATAGTAATAAAAGGAAACAAACCAATTTAAATGCCTCCCTCTGCTGTCTATGCCACTGCCCTATCTCATTTCAATTGCACAACACGGGGTCCTAACACACAATGCCTCTGTGCTATAGGAAGATAGCACAGACAGAGAACGCTTCACACTGAATGAACTTGGAGATTAAATTGTCTCTCTCCCAGCAGAGACCTCTGGTAGAGTCCTGAACCCTTGTCTGTCTACTCTGTTCTGCGGCCTTCTTGATAGATTTCCTTCCTATCCATGCCACTGTCTCTCTGATCCTCTCTTATGTGCTTGCCATCCACCACCCCCATTTTCAGTGTCCAAAAGCACCCTTCACTCTGTCTCCCCAGCTGCTGTTCCCAGAAAACAGAGGCCTTACTGAGACCTTCATAGAGTTGCAGAGATCAGTGAAGTCTTCTTGCTGTAGACTAGGAGGCAGAGGTCAGAGACTCTACAAAGACATTAATCTCTGCTCTGCTCTAGATCTAATGCTTTTCTGATGTTCAGGTGCAAATAAAAATGAGAGAGGATGTGGCAGGGGTGGGAAGGAGTTCAGGGAACTGAAGTCATCTTCTTCAAGAGCCTTGTGAGAAACAGCATCATCCTACAAGATCCCAGCTTCCTGTAGACTACAGGAGTCCCCCTTTACCTTCTGCATTCTTTGTAAGAAACGATTACAGAAGTCCTGTACACGCTCAACAGAGACTTCATCCAGAGTCAACACATCCTGCTCCTCATCTGGTGCATGGAATATAGCCAGAGCTGGTAGCTGGGACTTCTTCAGTTTGAAGAATGACACTGTTCGTTCATTGCTCTTCAAATTGCTGTCTACCAGGATAAAGAGAATCTGTGATGGAAACAGGAGAGGAAACATGAGCACAACAGAAGCTGAGAGGGAGAAGAGATCCCCAAACAGTGATCATATGAAGATTAACAGTGATATTTTTATAAAGAGTTAGAGAAAACCTACCATATTGTGTTAGGACAACATTTTCCTCTGCCACTATCTAACTGCACCATGCAGTGCATTTTTCTGTATTTTATGAAGTCCACACTTACACTACCAAACAAAATGTCTTCTTTCACCTTCTCTAAAAATATATCTACAGTATGGCAGGAAGCCAGTCTCCACTGCTATTCTCTTAATAGATGAGGAAACAAGATGTCTTTTATTTTAGTGGCACGTGTAAAAGAAGCTGACTCCTCTATTTGCATGTTATTTGAATAAGATGCTCACATCTATGCAAGACCCAGAGTGGCAGAGTAAAAAGGTGTTTTGGTGTGTGGAGAATCGAACTCAATTGCAAGAATGTGGGAGTGAAGCACAGGGCAACAGGAGCCTGGAAGGATAAGAACATGAGAGTACCAAATACAAAGGGCATATTTAAGTGAGCTGCAGTGAATAGAAATGAAGACACAATCATTTGGGAAACAGGAGTTGTTGGCAACAGCCCAGCTCAGACCTGGGGAGAGAGGCCAAACAGTGAATAAACCAGGATGAGAATGACCTGGATTCCTGAATAGTCTTGGAGAGTAAGATCAAGCCAAGGATTAGGATTCTGCCGGGATGATTCACTAGCACGGATTTATCAGAATTGGTGACCAACTCCATGACTTTATTTTAAGAGTAAGTTTCAATGGACATCTTACAGGTGCAGCACAAATTTAAAATTTTGGAATCTGAAAGATTATTAATAAAATATACAGCTATCTCAAAAATCTTTGTTAAATTATCTATTAATACTAAATACAAACATTATGTATAAATTTTACAACAGAAAATAAATATGGCAATTGAACAATTTAATCAGTGACCTGATTAAATAGAATCCCTTCGCAAGTGACATCCAAGTCAACGAGGCAAATATGCAGGTAACATGTCATTTTATCTTCTCTTTATCCTGTGCAGTCTACTGGCCCTAGCATATTCAATGTATCTATGGACATGGATATGACTTAACATACGCAAGAAAAAAGAAGAGTTTAAAAAAAGAAAAGTAATGCAATGTGAAGATGACGTGCCCAGTTCCCAGGCTGACTCATGTTTTTCTTTCTTTTCAACCAAGAACACTCAAGTTAGTTCAAAAGTTTTTTCTTCTCTAAAAATAAACTTGGTAAATCTCAAATTCTTTATTAAATTTATGTTCTATAAAAAACCAAATATATCTGGAAATTTTCCTAGGCAACAGCCTATGGGAAGGAAGGATAGTTAGACTAGCGTAAGGTTTAACTGCAGTTAATCACTGTGATACAGAAACAAGAACAACACTTTCACTGGTTATATGATATTTATCACATGCAATTTCTCTTCCAAAATTCAACTGTGCCCCAAGGGCAACAAGCTAGTGAGCAGACAGGTTGTGGGGAACTTCTCCCGGAGTGCTAAATTCATCCTTTTGCAGGATAAAACACCAAGCTAAGAAGGGTCACAAATCTAAGGGTCACAGGTCTAAGGACCTGATCTAAGACGCTTTCAGCTGGAGCAGAAATACTTGTTTTAGGAATCTCCTTCTAACTAGCAAGCTGGAAACAGAGGCCAGTGTCAGAGAAGAGCACTTTCAGAGAGTTGGTATAGGAAATGGTATCACATTTTCACCAGTTCATTCAACAGCTTTTGGTTTTCTCTGTGAAAGATTCACTAGACAACAATGGTTTTTTAATCAAATGTTAAACAATAAGTTAATTTTAAAAAAGCATTTAGAATATCTAGGTTGTTAAATGTTGTCGCTTTCTATAGAAAGTCTCCCCCACCTTTAAAACAGATCAATAGAATTTTAACATGGTAATATAAATAAATGGTAGTCATCACTCTTCACTTTATCAAGCTTCCAGCCTTTGTTAAAAATCCCAAAACTAAAAAGCCGTACACATTTTATCCATGAATACAAAGAATAGAGTAAGAATAAAAATGTTGGGGTTTAAAACTCCAAGCACCTTCTTCCTTACAGAAGAAAACGAAAACACACAAACAAGTGGTCCCTCAGCTAGAACGGCTGAGATATCATCATTCACAGTTCCTGACTTGGACCTCTCTAATGACTCACATTTGGCTCACAGAGTTACAGGGTGACAAATTAAAGCAAAAGTTTCCTTCCCCTCTGATATTCCAAAAATACAGGAGAGACGGCAATTGCATTTGTCCACTGTCGCTCCAAAGAAGACAAGACAATAAGATAATGCCTATATCACATGCGTTTTAGAATGATGCGTTCCCGGTAGGTGCTGTGACATGGGGTGAATCCTCCCTCAGCAAAAGGACAGGCCGTTCATCCTACGCTGATGTGCTCCCGGGGTCCTGCCAAGGCCAGGGTGGCCTCAAAGTCACAACTGTGAGGCAGTCTGTAAGGTGTGCTGGTACTGAGACCACAAGTACTAGAAGTCTGGTCTCATCAGCTGGAAACCAAGCAGGTTTCTCAATGGGGACGTTTCCAGGATAGATGCTACCTGGTGGAACTGGCATTTTCTCATGAGGAATTTATTTTGTTCAGAGATTCCCAGACTGCTCTAATCATAGAGAATGAATGCAGTGACCATGGAAAATTATACTGACCATGAGACAAGATTCACTTTGCCTAACTTCTGCCATCTAGATCTTAAGTTTGCCTCAGCCAGTCATCTTGGCAACCTGTACAATAAATGGCACTTGATTCCACTTATTTTAGAAGGGGAGGAAGGACATGTCTGTTGTTCTCTACCAGTGCTGAAAAGAGCCTAAAGCCTTATCTCAGATGACTTACCAAAGCTATAATTAGCCAAAACAAATCCCACTTATGATGCCAACTCTCACATCACTACTAAAAACCAGGTAGTTCCATCCAAAACAGAAATTTCATTTTCTATTTTATACTATGCTGTACAATAGCTGTTTATTTCATTCTGAAACAATTTCCATTAAATTCTTTCATCTTGTAACAATATTCTTGCCTGTGTTCAGAGGTCTGCTGCTGGAGGCAGTGAAGGATCTCTTGCATGGATGAGGAACTGCTGACAAAAATTCTCCCCTCCACACATCATACTCCAAGAACACAGAATACAGTTTAATATTATCTTTGCACTGTCACCTGCAATAAGCTCTCTTTCAGAAAATTTTGTACACTGGTGCTGTCTTGGTGTCTTCACAACTTGATTCCTAGCCCAGTGCTTTTAGAACATTGAGTTCTTGGTAAATACTAAGATACAGAATGATGTTATTGCCCAAGGAATTAACGTTAATTGAAAATAGTACTGCAATGGTAGAAACCAATTTGATGTTGCTTAGTTTTTCCTCTAAGGAAGACAAACAGGAAGGATGATCAAGCCTCACATCCAGTGTTTGACTTTGAACTTGATAGAGCTGCAACCTTCATTCTTTGAGGAGACTGTATAAGCAAAAAGATCCAATTCTGAAGTAAATATCCAACTTGAGTAATTTCTTGCACAGCTTACACAGTACATCAAAGCAAAATGAAAACATTAGTCATGAATTAAAAAAAAAAGCAAGCTACAAAAACAATTTTATCGCAGATACTGTTACGTGATATAGACAACCTGTATTTACAGGTTCCCCTGTTTATGGCTAAAAGAGGCATCTCTAAATATTATCTCTTTCAGTTCTGGAGCCATCAACGTCTGACAAGAAAAATAAAAAGTGTATGAATGACTATCTGCAAAAGAAAGGGCACCATCCTTTCGTTTTCATGGAAGAACTCCTGAAGGACTATCAGGATTTTCTCAGAACCCATTTCTAAATGGGCCTACATATAAATTAAAAGGGACTTTGCAAACATATCTACCCAAATCATTTTGAAATTGTAAACCAGTTATATCAGTTGCAGCAAAAGCTGCTTTTATTATTCCAAACATCACCTTATTGAAACTCCATCAAACACCCATAAGGAACACCAGCTGTAATTGTCATGTTATACTCTGATACTGTGGAAATAAAACTGAAGATGCTTATGCTAGTTTGGCTCAGCAATGCAAACCCTGACATTTCCTTTCCAGTAGAAAGCCTGGACTCTTGGCAGTACTTTCTCAAATAAGCACATATTTTGATTGCAGTGGGATCCTTCCAAGACGACTGGTGGATTCACTCCTGCAGCTGCAGTGCTCTGAGCTCTGTTCACTGTTATCCACCCACAACTGTTTCTCAAAGTCTGCTAGAAAAGTACCATATTTCTTTTTATTCTTGTCAGCTCTTGCTGGTTTAGCATCATCTAACATTTGCATTTTCCTCTCCATCATTTTATAGTCCCCAGGTTCCACGATAAAATCTAGAATAATCTAGATTGCCTTCAGACACTCACTGCTGCTCAGGGTACAGTTCAAGCTATTTTCAAATAATGGTCCTCACCATACATCCTCATGGATCCTTCAGCTGAAAATCTCAGCTTCCTCTCAGGCAAAAATGGAAAGATTACAAACCAGAGATGAAGGGACCATAATCCAGGAACTGGCAGGTGAATCACCTCCTCATGATCCATTAACGGTTGGACTCGATGATCTTAAGGATCTTTTCCAACCTAAATGATTCTATGATTTTCTTCACTCTTTGAGGCCAGCCACTCAGCAGCAGCAGTTCCTCTTCATCTCACCATCAATCCAAGCAACAAGTTTCTCTTCCTCCTCCAGCTGGTGATGACAATGAGAAGGACTCCTCTTCCCTCAGAGTGCAGCAGAGATGCGTGAAAGGATCGGTAGCCCTTCTCCTGCTTGGGAACCCTCTCGAGGCTCTGTTTGTATTCTGCACTGGCATTGTGGAGAAGATGCAACGCTCACCGAGTCTCCTCACTCTGTTCCGGCACTCTGCAGTCATCGTGAAGCACTGCTGGATGCAGTGATACATGCTCACGGGGAGCCTGAACACCTCTCCACTGCACAGCAATGATTCCTTGCTCAAACCACTGACAGCGCTAACCCTGCAGCACAAACAAGCCTTTCACCACTAGCCCACAGGCTATGAATTATTCACTGGTAATCCTGAATAAAACTCAAGTCAAGAATCTTGCATTTATTCACAGATAATCTGCGAGCTGCAAAGAGGCAAAATCTACTCAATACTTTACTTGTTTGGAAGTAAACCTGAGTTAACTTGGTAACTCCACTTCTTAGGAAAATTAGCCAGCAGAAATTTCCATGATATTGTGCAGTGGCTGCTTCTGATACCCAAACTAATTCATGTCTTTCTGCATGGCAGAGCAATGGAGACAAACTTAAGTGGGCATATCGCTCTGCTTACTCCTTAGCATCCAGATCTAAGAACCAAACAGAGGGATCCTAGCTTTCTCTTACTGCTTTGTAAGACGACAGTCCAAATCATAATTTACTCCCTAGAGTGCCACTCCTTTAGGAAAAACAAATTATTAGACTCTAAGTCCCTTCATCTATGTGTCCTGCAGTGCCACTGCAGTAAAGTGGAAAGAATTAGTCAAATCTCCACATCTTTAATCTCTGTATTTTACTCTGGCAAACTTCTAGGCCAATTCGGTGGGAAACTTGCCTGCACGAATAAAAAAAAAATCACATTTGGCTTGTTGGCAATTCATAAATTATCTGGACATCAGTACAACATTTTATCCAATGTTTTGTGAAGTATTTCTAGGAAAATTATTCACATTTTTTCCAGATCTAGGCATGTCACATGAAGAGAAAACTAGTTGCAGCTGCAGCAGCAAAGGACAGTGACGCTAAGCAGTAATGTGCTGCGTTAGAGCTATCTGCTTAGGGAAGACCTGTATCAGACTCTGCTGCTCGTGGAAGACAGTGATGATGGTGTCACTATAACACACATTTCACATGAAACAGCTGGAATTTTTCAGATAAGTGAGTTTTCTTTTATCACTATGCATTCATCAAAGCAAAACACTTTTGAAGACACCTTTTGATTTTGATGCCTGGTTTCTGCCTGGTCTGTTGCTAATGGGCGGGACAGATGGCAAGGTCCAAAGTAGTCCTGCCATAAACAAGTCTCAAGACTTTCGAGGGTGCATGGTTCTGAGGTGGCCCTTCCATTTGAAGATGAGGACATACGTGATTTTTAATCTGCCTCTTCAGTACCACAAACAGGGGTATGCAATTGTTCTTGTTCTCAAACCCCAACTCTTTCCAGCTCCACAATTCTCCTAGGAAGATCTCTTCCACTGCCTCTCAGCTCAGCCTTCCCTGCTGCTGTGAT